CACTATTTCAGTAATTTCGAGAAAGTAAGCACTAACTGGTGTTAATTGGTTAAAGTTTCACCTAAGCGACCTGAACTTTGACCTTTTATTCTCTTCTTACATCATTTTCATGTTTTAAGTATTTTTATATTTTGTAGTTCGACATAGCTATAATTTTGAACTACGGACCAGAGGGAAGGCAGCCATTCAACAACACTTTACCACCCACGCTAAGGAATTAACTGTCACTCTTATCATGCACTCACATCTTAAAGTTTGAAGAGGATGTTTTATGGTATTGCACACATTCGTATCCAGATCGCCAGGAGAGAAGATATCCTCTAATTCATGAGGATTGGTGTTCCAGGTTCTACCGAACCTCCTCCACCAACAGAACATATTTATAATTTAATGACGGAGTTAACTAACTTTGAATATGTATATACATCTAGTATAAAAGGCAATAAAATATATAAATTAATATTATATCTTAAAACACCTTAATTACAATAAATACTAAAATTTTATACAAAATTAAATATACACTCAATATATATATATTTATATATAATTAAATTATTTATCACTAAAACTTGTTTAATTTAAATATATAAATTAAAATTATAAAAACATATTTAGCTCCCATAGCTATAACACTACAAAATAAACAGAGAGTTATATTTCCTAAACATTGTATTAATCTTTTCTTACTTTAATATATATGATTTTTTTTTAAATAACTTTGAGTGAGGTATCTTAATCTCTGATCGAAGTTGGTAAAGAACTCTGCTGGTGCAAATGTTTGACGGACGTATTTAAATGTGAATTCGTAGCTGGTCATAGTACAGTATTTTGTAGAGTTTGTTATATTTTTATATTAAGTAAATTAATGTTAGACCACACTCTAGCTGCGTATTCAAGAAGTGATCTAATAAATACTTTATTAATCTTAATTATAGTTTTACAGTCACATCTTCCCTGTTTTGTAATTATTTTCTTTAATATGTTAAACCTAAACCAACCTTTTTTAAACTAAAATATTAACATGGTCTTTCCAGTTTGATTTCCTATCGTATACAACTCCTAAATATTTAACGTATTCAACTGATTCCATTTGTGTATTATATATTTTAACATTTGCTTTTTGGATGTCGAATAAATTTTGTTTAGATATATTATTTTTCTTATAGAAAATGATAAACTTAGTTTTATCAGGGTATAAATACACCCATAATTTGCACCAAAGCTCTAAATCAATTAAAGCAAATTGTAAGTTTCGAATTATTGTTTAAACCGAATGACTGATAACCCAATAAGTAATATCACCAGCATATCGTGCATTAATAATATACCCAGTATTAGTTTCTGGACATTTAATATTCTTGGTATATAAGCTAAAAAATATTGGACTCCAAACAGTACCTTGTGGAACTCCTACTTCAGATGTTTTGTTTTTAATTATGCACAAAGCTACACAAGGGCTATCTGTGCTCTGCCCACCACGGGTATCGAAACCCGGTTTCTAGCGTTGTAAGTCCGCAGACATACCGCTGTGCCACTGGAGGGCACTCCTACTTCAGACTAAAGCTATCTGACAAATCATTGTGTATGTTAATTTTATTTTCCCTGTTTTTAATAAAATTATTTATCCATCTTATAAATGAATATGGTAGGTTAAAATAATAAATTAATGTATATATATAATAACCCATTATGCCATATTTTGTCAAAGGCCTTTTCAACATCCAACTTAGTAGCACTAGTAGGACTACATTACTGGCTTCCTCACTGGCAAAACAAATAGAACCAGAATTTCCAATCGTAAAATGTTACTCTATAGTAAAATAGTCACATAAGTAGTATCATAAAGTTAAGTAAAGGAAAGGTGTACTGACGAAAACCGACATTCCATTCAAACACCAAGTGGGGAAGCCAGTAATGTAGTTATTGGCTTAGTCTACTATGTGATTATTAGCCAATCAAGTGATATGTCCACTTCCGTCCATATCTTGTTTGGTTCCTTTCTTCATGTTCAGTAGCCAGCCCCACATAGTTTTTTTTTTTATTTAGCAATAATATTTTTTCCTAATACTTGTACTAGATGTATTTTCACAGGGTCCCCGAAAATGTTCTGTTTCAAGAGTAAGTAAAACTAAAATTAAAAATAAGAAATATTTTTTGTCTCTTGCTTTTGAAGTTCATACGTCATTCTGTGTTGTAGCCAACAGAGTGCATAATTATTCTTGTGATTCATGGCATGTGCACGTTTTACTGACGTCACGATAGCACAAATTGCAACGTTAAGCATCCCTTATGTAACGTCATTTTAGTGTCTGCTGACATATTGACAGACTACACACTACTGTATACTGATGTTAGTGGTTAAAACAGGTAACCACTTTAGGCAGCCTTCGAACCTCTTTGGGGGAAATAAAAAGAAACTTAAGAAAAATTAATTAGTAGAAAAGTACAAAAGAAAATAATAGTAATCTCCAATATCGTAACGAGTTGACTTGTTATATTTATATTCTTCAATACAGTAACGATATAACCTGTTTTATATTTATATTCTGTAATACCATAAAAAAGATAACCTGTTTTATATTCATATTCTGTAATACCATAAAAAAGATGACCTGTTTTATATTATATTATGTAATATCAGAAAAAAGATGACCTGTTTTATATTTATATTCTGCAATACCATAAAAAAGATGACCTGTCTTATATTATATTCTGTAATATCATAAAAAAGATGACCTGTCTTATATTATATTCTGTGATACCATAAAAAAGATGACCTGTTTTCTTATATTATATTCTGTAATATCATAAAAAAGATGACCTGTCTTATATTATATTCTGTAATACAATAACGAGATTTATATTCGATTTTCTATCCAGTATGATTCAGATGTCGTTTTATAATTTCTTCAAGCCCTTTCTCTCGGTGTCCCTATTTTTACAACAGTGTACTAAGTTATCTAATAATCTTTAATCGCAGAGTTTATATCTTTAGCACTGTCAAAATGAGACACCTTTGGTAACAGCGGATTCGTTTCTATATCTCTTCAATTTTCACACTTTCTATAGGCCTAAATCTATACAAAAATTACTTCTACAGTCACCAATTTCAAATTACAATTGTCGATGAAATAGCTTTCTTCCAAATAAAAAGTTATTATGTGCTACGGGTGATAAAATTCAGTTATACGAAACAGCGACACCTACCTATTGGCAGGCAGTTGAAGCAATCGGTGAAGGTCTTCCAAAGTTTAATGCTGTATCTTCTTTTACATTCGTCATAAAATCCGTATATTCTGCGTGGTTGATGTATAATATATTTTAAAAAAAAACAACATCAAATTACAGGTTTTATTCGTTTATAATCTTAGTTTTGTGAATTGAAAACTATGTAAGACTGATGTTAAAATTATAATAAACGAAATATATAAAATTCATTGGATAAATCTATCGATCTACTTAAAAACAGTATATAGTATAGCCCTTTAGACTCCTAATGTTGATATAGATAACGAAAATATTAAGAGGAAATATCCCGTTTCAGAAAAAACAACCTTTAGCAGTCTGATCTAATTCGATATAAGAATATGTAATGAAGACAGGTGATAAATACGTCCCTGGAAGCGTGATGCATATTGTTGCGTCAGCGAGGTCACGTGACTAGTGTCATGCCACCTGCTTTCTAGAACTATCCCGTTCCTTCGTGAATGCCCTAGTATTTACTAGATATATGTTAGTCTGGTATATAAATAAGACGCTCACAACGTGACGGCAATAATGTGTGTGTAGGTAGTGAGTAATAGAAATGCAATCAGAGAGAGAGACGTATTGTTGAAGTACGTTGTTATAGAGCGACTGTTGAAAATAAGTGTA